AAAAAAAAGAGCAGGTGGAGGGAAGGGCAGGTGCAAAGACTCCAGGCCAGGACCACACGGGGGGCACCTGGAGAGCAGAAAGGTGACCAGTGCGGCTCGTGAAGGGGGCAAGAGGGAATGACTGGAAACAAAGGCGATGGCCGATTCATGTAGGGCAAGGTGGAAAGGTCACCACCAAGAAACCCACGGGTAGGAATACAGGGGTTTGGATGGAGAAAAACGTCATCTCTCTTTTCACCAACCTCTACCTGAAAACCAGCACTTCCTCCAGTCCCGAACGATGACAACAACCAACAGTGACATTAGGGGTGCCGGGGACGACAACAGAAACTGCTCGTCCATCCCTAACACCACTGTTGCAGACCTCGGAGACAGCACTTCTGCTCATCACAAGTGCAAAGTCACAGTAGCTGTGAGGCCAGCAGCTGGCCATTATGATTTAAAGTCTTAACAAAGAAGGACACATTTTCTAATATGGTAAATTTGAAAAGTATCTAAGGACTGAATCTGAAGAGAACTGGTTTCCCTTGTAATCCCATGGGTTTTGTTGTAGACGAGAAAGAGCATGGCTCTAAGATGGGGTCCTCAGGCTTCGCCCGATGGCCCAGGTGCTCACAAGCCATGGTAGGGAGTCTGACTTTTACTCCAGGCGGGACCGAGAGCTGCCATTCCAACGGGTTTCGTGGGCTACACTTTCTGTGCTTCAAAAGCCCCCCTGGCTTGCAGGGCCTGTGGCTGTGCGGAGCAGTGCCAAGGGCAGGAGAAGGCACAGCCTTCCCTGACCACTGTCCGGGGCCGTCAAGAGGGGGCAGCGTCCTGGATCCTCACGCTATTGCCTCTGACCAGGAGCCTGCCTACCACCCCACTTCACACTCACCTCTGGGCCCAAAGGAACCCTGTCCCTTGGCCTGAAGGCTCCTCCAGGGCACCCTCCCAAAGAGCTTCTGAAAGTGAGCTCATGTGTTCCCAAGAAAAATAAATGCGGCATTCGCCACTGTTCGGTGTGTATATTGGTCTAGCAAAGAAATGAGATTTTTATTTTAAGAAAAGCCTTCCATCAGGACCCCAGCGGAGGCCGGGCAAACACTAGGGGGACGGACCATGACTGCTCGGGGAGGCCCAAGCACTGGAACCCACCGCCACGAGCGGCAGCCCCGCCGTTTACGGCCCCCTTCCTGTTTTCCCCGGGCCCCTCTTCGCGCTGCTCTCTCACACACAGAGTCTTTTCAATGTCCTCCAGGAGAACAGAAGAATCCATTTGCACACGCCAGCACGCACGTTTCTCCCACCCTCCCCGGGGAGCGGGCCCTGCCAAGAGGCCTGTTTATGGACATACGGGGACAGGCGGGGATGGGGCCCGTGGGGTGGGGTCCTCCGACCAAGCCAAGGTGAGGGCTGAATCCTATGCTCCCAGACGCCCCAAACCAGAAGTGAGAGCGGGGCCAGGCCAACTGGGAGCTGAGGGACATTTGTGGCACTTCTTGGGCAGTGCCTGGGAGCCTCGTGGGGGGACAAGGATGTCGTGTGGGGTGTGGAGGGTCTGGCTTTGGAAGGAGGGAACCGGAAGGCACAGGGCTGGTTCACCTCGAAGGATCAGAATGGTGTCAGGAGTGGAGAGGAACCACCGGGTCTTTGGAACCAGGCTAAGCGAGCTGCTGAATGGGAAAGCGAGGCAGCCGTGTCGCTGGTGAGGACCAGCGCGGAAGAGTGACTGCTCCAGGGGCCAGCGGCACCCACTGCTGCCTGTTCAGCCCATGCCCCTTTCCCAGGTCTCTGGTTAGAAAGAACAGGCTGGGTTTTGTTTTTCTTGGGAGGGGCTTCATTTTTTTATTTGTACCCATTGGCATTTCTGGGTTGGGAGTTTCTCCAGCCTCCAATACGGAAGGCGGGAAGAAGAACCCAGGAGCTTGCTGGCCTGTCATTCCTCGCAGTCCCCGGTCCCCAGCCAGTCTGCCTTCATCTCTCTACTTTTCATAATTTTCCTGTATTTGTTTCACATATAATTTCCAGAGCTTTTGCCTGTCCTTGGTGGGAGGGTAGGGGACAGTGTATCTACTCCATCGTGTCTGGAACTGAAGTCCTACATTTCATATTGTTATGTTTTATACATATATTTTAAAGATTTATTTAATTGAAAGAGAGAAAGCGCAAGCGAGCACACAGAGGGAAAGGAAGAAGCAGACTCCCTGCTGAGCAGGGACACCCCCCCCCGCCCCCGCCACCAAATTGGGGCTCCATCCCAGGACCGTGGGATCATAATAACCTGAGCTGAAGGCAGACGCTTAACTGACTGAGCCACCCAGGCGCCTCTGTGTTTTATATTTTTAAGAAACACATGAATCAAATATAGCAGAATACTCCAATGTCCTTAACCTGTCTGGCAGTTACAGGAAAGCCCTTACACAGCTTTCAATATTCTTCCTTTTATTGGAAACATTGTATACATTCAGTGTTACGCACACCCCTTCCTTCTTTGAGCATTCACCTCCCCTACCTCTGCTGTGCACCTCCGGGCACCAGCTATACAGTGGCGAATTGAAAAGATCCTTCTGGAAGAGCCTTTCACACTTGGGGTGAGCAGACAGCAACCAACAGCTGAGGCAGGGTGCTCCCACAGCAGAGGACAGTGTGTTCTGAAAGACCCTGGCCAGGAGGCTAAATCTGACGAAGTCTGACCACTCTGAGGAAGTGGTCCTTGGGCCTCTGTGCCCCGAGGGCATTCCTGGGATGGCCACCTGTGGGCAGTCGACCCAAAGGCAGAGAAGCAAATGGCTTCCCAAGAACAAGCTTTGCGAGTGAGGCCCCTCTCAAGTAAGCTGGGTCTCACGTAATTACCCCACTTCTCTGCACAGCTTCCCACTTCAGGGAGGGGGTCTTTCCTCCTATTTCAAGCTCTCTCCTCCAAATTAGCACCCCAGAAAGGTCTCTTGCATCAATCCTTTGGCTGTAAGCATGAGTGGGAGCCATTCCCTGGGCCCGTTGAGGAAAACTGGGCTCAGCACCCAGAAAAGGCATTCTGGTCTCCAGTGAACTTGCTCACCCCAGACAAGAGAGGGCTTGTCTCCCCAAGGGTGTATGACAACATGGCAACTGAAGTCCTGACCGCTAGACCCTATTCTCTCCAAGTCTAAATTAGCATGAAGAACAAAATGGCCCTAGGGAAATAATGGCCAGACTCCAAAGAGGCTCTTCCTCCCTTCTCTCTGAAATCCACTTGGAGCTTAGCCTGGTAAAATGCTCCCAGGCCCAGGAGACGTGCCCTTCTTCTCTCTTACCCTGCCCCAGGGATCCCCAACAACAAGAGTGACCATGACACCCCCAGGATGGGAAGGGCCCAGCAGAGTGGTGGCTGTTGGGCATTCCAGAAGGAAAGCTGAAGTGCTAAGGGGAGGGTGCCCTGGGCTCCTGGGGAAGGTTCCAGTGAAGCCCCATTTACACATGATCTCACTGGACTGGGTTCATGATCACTTCTTTCACCTGAGGAAATGGAGGGTCAGTAAGATTAAGTGACTCATCAGGTGGGATCTGAACCCATGTCTGTCTAAATGCATTGACCTGATCCCTTAGGCCAGCTCCACTTGCCCCCCAGAACACGGTGGGGGACCTGATCTGAGGTGTTAAGGTGAAAGGTGGATCTTGAGGACATTTCTCTCTCTTTTGACCTGCTCACATCTGCCTTCACGGGGTACAGGTGACTTCCCCTCATTTCATAAACACTAATTAAGGGAGCTCCAAGGTGGGCATGTGGGGCATACAGAGCAAACAGTTGTCACCTGCTGTCACAGCAAAGCAGCAGAATCTGGATGGTGGGCCAAGTGGCCAGGACTGAGCAGGCATGGGACACCATTAAGTCCTGCCCCGCCTAGAAAACTGCAGGAGGAGGCCAGGCTACCTGGGAAAGCCATTCAGAAAAACTAAGCTATCACGAGTGGTCTCACATTTCATGGCAGCACTGGGCAGTCCACTCACAGCCCCAGGAAGAAGTCCCAAGAGCAGCTAGGCCCACAGAGTTCTGGAAAAGGCCATCCTATGTCCAGTCCTCAACGGATGTCCATATAATAAGAAGCAGTTAACATGTCCATGACCTCCAGTGGTCAGGAGCAGATAAGAAGCCTTCATATGTCAAGGGGCGCATACACAGCATACGGGGAGAAGGGCCAGGGTCCCCACTGGTATGGAGGAGCCCCATGATGTCCACCCCCTCCCTGGGAGCCCTGTGTCCTCATTTGGTGAGTTTGGCTGTGTTGGCCCCATGAGAAACAAGGCCCCTCCATTGTGTGGGTGCCCAATAAAGAGGACTGGGCTGTCCCACTGAAAAGGGGGCCGCTCCGTGAGCACCAGCATGCCCCGCAAGAGGAAAGGGAGCCCAGATATTCACCCCACCCTCAGCTCCCAAAGCCTGCTTGGTGAGGGCAGAGTCCACGACCTCTGGGCAAGAAGGATAGGAGGCTGTGAGGGGGCGCTCATTGCCAGGCCTGGCCCACCTCCACCACCCTGCCACGAGCTGTGCAACTTCGGGTCACTTAGAGATCCTTAGTTTCCCCATCTGAAAGATGGAGTGAAAAAACCAGTACTTGCCTCCAAGGGTAACTGGGAGATAATCCTGCCCAACACATACCAAATATTCAATGAATGTTAGTTTCCTTTTCTTTTTTTCTTTAGCGGGGGGGTATTGGGGGGACGGGGAAAGGGAGGGGGAGAGAAAGAATCCTAAGCAGGTTCCATGACTAGAGAAGAGCCCAGCTCGGGGCTCGATCCCACAACCCTGAGATCACGACCTGAGCTGGCATCCAGAGTCGGACGCTGAGCCACCCAGGCACCCCGTTAGTTTCCTCTTTATGTCAATCAGCAAGGATGTCAGCCTGCAGCTCCTATGCGGAATCACTTTGCTGCATCGACGGGTTGGTATCTGACTCACTGTATAAACAGTTTGTTGCCCAACGGGCTTCTTGCTTCCCTCCCAGCCCCTTCCCACCACCCCCACCAGGAGGACAGCTTACCTATCGTCCTTCGGAGGTCTTCACACTGGCTAATGTGAGGAAACTTCAGGATTTCCTTCCACTTCTTGCTTTTCCCCTTGCGCTTTCCTCCACCCCCTGCAGAAATGGGGGAAAAGATGTTGGGCTGATGTTGGTCTTGTCCAAGGCTCCAGAGCCTGTTTCCCATCCCAGAGAGTCTGTCTACCAGCTTCGGAGGCTGGGAGACAGCCAGGGAGCTCAAGGTCAAGTCAGTGACACACCCCAAGCCCCAGCAGGCACACATACTCCTTCTGGGCCAGCATCAAGCCTCTGTTCTCCCCGCACAGTCGGGCTTGGGCCCCTCAACCAGCAGGAGCAGACGAGCCCCTCGAGTCATCCAGGCCTGAGCCCACACCAGGTGCCCTGTTCTTCGTCATCATCTCCCACCACTGTTCAGACCCACTGGGTGCCCAGCCTCTGGCCCCGGACCAGACTCCAACCTGCCCATGGCAGGGGCCGGGTCGGCTGGACTTAAAATTGCCTTCAGGCTCGGGAAGTCCTCACAGAATGGATATACAAGTAGACTGCAGCCCCCTCATTGCCTCATTTTGTCCTCCCGTTTCCCGTGGAGAGTCCCCTTCCCCAACTGGAGGCCGGATGTCAGGAGCAGGGACTTCAACTTCCAGTTGTCTCCTGTACCCTCTTTTTCTCTCTCCCCACAAACCCTAGGGTCGTGGAGGATGCATTCTTAAGGCTGGAAGGACTCGAGAAGGGTCCCATCCTGCCTCACGTCCTCCTCGGTGTGCACATGTGACGGGCACACACATGCTAGGGACATGCATGTGTAATGTCCATGAACATATGATGAACACACGTGCGATGAAGGTGCACACATTCGGAAGCCCTGCACACACAGTGGCCATGCGGTGAACACGCAAAGCTGAATAAGGTACACACATGGGGCATTGCTGTCACCAACGCTCCTCCTTAGCCATGGGACCATGGACGGACGTTAGAATGCTTGGGTGTGCAAATGGAGAGAGGAAACGTCCACTCTGGCCCATGTCCCTGAGCCCACCAAGTGCTTGGACCTCAGACCCACAGGCCCCTCTGTGTTGCATAGCTGGGATCTCAAGGGACGGAGATGCCATCACCCACCCCCACCCCCAGAGTGGCCTTAGATACCATCTTGCTAAAGGTCACATAGCCTTTCAGGCCCCTCAGTATCTTGGGATATTAAGGGCCTTTTACCTTCCTTCATGCAGTCAACACCTCAACCCCTGTGGGGTTGGGACCCCAGTTAGAGATGCAGGATCTGGGGCAGAGCCTGGGCACCGTGGGCCTGATCCCTGCTCTGGGTGGGTGTGCAGTGCCTCTGGTCTCTAACCCTCCCAGAGCAGGCCTGGGCTCCTCTCTCCAGCCAGCAAACTGAGGGATTCAGGAAGAGCTTAGTTTGTACCCGCGCTGGCCCAGTGCACGCCCCGGGGCTAGCAGGAAGCTGGTCTCCATGGTTCCTTACTCTCAACCCTGCCTCCCTGGGGAGCTTAGGCAGGGTCCCCATCAGCAAGTTTGGTTAGCTTCTGAGGCCAGGATCAGGACCCCCACCCTTGGGGGTGGGGAAGTAGGAGAGAGAGAGCTGATGGGGGTGGGGGAGGCAGTCCTTTCTCTGCTCTCTGCTCATCCTGTCTTCTTTTCTCTCCAGTCTCGGCAGAAGGCAAAGACCTCAGACTCCAAGGGGCAGAACAAGTGTGCACTGGGCACTTGCTACGGCCAGGTCCATTAGAACATTATCTTATTTAATCCTCAGAATGACTCTTTGAGGGATAGATCACCGGACCAACATCGCAGATGAAGAAACAAATGTCCAAAGTTGAGCAACTTGCCCGCTGATGGCCTGTCCGGTTCCATATTTGCTCTTTCCTCTAGCCAGGGTCAACACACAGGCACACAGAGCAGAGGTCTTCCCCGAACCCTGGCCTGAGCCTAGCCACTCATGTGCACTCCCCGGAGCCCTCACTCTGAGTCTACAAAGCAGAACTATGACTATTCCCCCTTGACAGAAAAGGAAACTGAGGCTTGGGGAAGAAAGAAGCAAGTGGCTTTCTTCAATGGCTCATTCATGGCAGAGCCAAGACCCCAACTTGAGTGAACTCTAGACCCTAGGCCTGTGTATAGACCTTCCTTTGAGGTTCACTGAAAACCAGGGAAATTCTCAGGGATCAAAAAAAAAAAAAGCTGTTGTCAGGCCACAGAAGTGACGGAGTATTGAGTAAGAGGAGGAGGAATGGGGATCTCTCTAGATGGGGCCCCAGCCCACAAACTCTGAGAGAAGTCACCACCCCAGACGCCTGGAGACTTGTTCTGCTTGACCCCCACGTAGCTTGTTTGCTGGTTCACTGAACCAGCTGTCTAGGTCTGAAACCACGAGGAAATGTCCCATGTAAATCCAGATTTCAGACTTCTCTCCATAACCAGGCATCCTGCGTGGCACGCATCAGCAGGAGCTGGGGAGGAGCTGCTCCCGTGGACAGGCACTGTGGCCTCCATGCAGCCAGCCTGCCTGGCCTCCAGTGGGATTAAAATATGCACCCTCCAGAAAAGGGCTGTCCTCTAGAGACACAGGCAAAGTCAGATGCTGCTGTCTCAGACTCCGCCAGGCGGGGAGGTCAAGAACGGCCGTCAGAACACATCTAAGTCGGGGCGCCTGGCTGGCTCAGTAGGTTGGGTGACTGATTTCAGCTCAGGTCATGATCCTAGGGTTCTGGGATCAAGCCCCATATTGGGCTCCTTGCTCAGAGGGGAACCTGCTTCTCCCTCTCTCTCTCTGCCTGCTTGTGCTGTCTCTCTGTCAAATAAATAAATAAAAATTCTTAAAACACACACACACACACACACACACACACACACACACACATCTAAGTCCTTGTCTCCTCCCATTCCCACACTATTTGCTCCCAGATCTGGCTAAAAGAAAGCACGTGTGTGTGTGTGTGTGTGTGTGTGTGTGTGTGATAAAACCTACACAACATGAAATCTACCGTATTACCCGTTACTAGGCACACAGTCCAGGGGCAATCAGTATATTTATCTTGTACAACCGTCACCCCATCCACCTCCAGAACTTCTTCATCACCCCAAACTGGAACTCTGCACCTATTAAACACTAATTCCCTCATCCCCCCAGCCCCCGGCAGCCACCGTTCTACTTTCTGTCCCCGTGAATTTCGCTACTGGAGGGAAAGTAAGTGAAATCGCACAGTGTGTGTCTTCTTCTGACCGGCTCACTGCACTTCCATAAGGTCCTCAAGGGTCATTCCTGTTGCAGCGTCTATCCGATTTCATCCCATTTTTAAGCCCGAGTCATAGTCCCTGTGTGCGGGAACCACATGTGGTTTATCCATTCATCTCTTGATGGACACTTGGGTTATTGCCACCAATTGATTCTCGTGGTGGATGCTGCTACGGATATCTGAGTCCCTGCTTTCCCTTCTTGTGGGTCCATGCCCAGGAGGGGACTCGCTGGATCACACAGCAGTTCCATCTTTCTGTGGAACAGATGAAACCACCAGGCTGTACCCCAACTCTCCAGGATCAAAACCCAGGGATGTGACTTTTGAAAAGTCTCCCCAGGTGATTCCCAAGTGGCCAGTCTACACAAACCAGGGGTCTATTTTGTGCATACTTTTTATGGATTAATTTATTCATTAGGGAAATTAATGCAGACTCATTAATTCACTCAACCAACACACGTTGAGCATCTATGAAATGCCAAGCTCTCCGCAGGTGCTGGGGACACAGTGGAAGGCAAGAGACACGAGGTGTCGCCATTTTGGGGGCTTCCAATCTAGCGAGAAGACAGACATCAAAGGCTTTATGTCAGTGGTTTTCAACCAGGGCAATTTGTCTTTCGGGGGCCATCTGGCAACGTCTAGAGATATTTTTGGTTGTCATAGCCGGGCTGGGGGTGCCACGGGCCATGAGAACGGTGGGCCCAGGGATGTGGTCACACACTCCACAATGCATGGGACAGCCCCCCACCACACAGAGTGATCCGATTCGAAACACCAGTGCCGAGGAGGAGAAACGCTGCTCTATTTCACAAGCATTTCGACCACTCAGAGGTGCAGGGTTTGGGGGAGATGTTTGTAATGGAGCGATGTGTCACTGCAGCTGGAGTTAGGAAGGGAGGGAGAGGGTCCCACACAGCCAGCCAGGGGCCTGCCCCAGGGCGAGAAGGCCGACTTCCCAGCCCTCCTGGGGCTCCTTGCCTCCTCCTCCTCACCACCTCAGCCCCCAGAACACGGCAGGAACTGTGGTAGGCAGGACAATGCTCCCCAGAGTGTCCCCGTCCCACTCCCTGGAGCTTGTGGATATGTTAGGACACATGACAAAGGGGAATGAATCTTGCAGATAGAAGTAGGGATAACGGCGAAACATTACCCCAGATGGTCTCTGTCAGCCGGCGTAACCATTAGCATCCTCACGTGGGGAAGAAGGAGTACAAGAGTCAGTTTAGAGCGATGCTGGGTGAGAAAAACCACTGCTGGCTTTGAAGGTGGAGGGAGCTTCGAGAAAGAGGGCAGCCTCTGGAAACCAGAAAAGGCAAGAAAACAGCTTCTCCCTGAGAGCCTCTAGAAAGAACAGAGCCCTGCCAACACCCTAGTTTTACTCAGTGCAACCCACGGCAGACTTCTGTAACTCAGTGACGTGTGTTCCTTTAATCCACTGGGCTCGTGGTACCTGTTCCAGCAGCGATAGGAAACTAACACAGGGACGCTCCCAGCAGGGTGACCGCCTAAATGACCACAGGGATCCTGAATGGCCTCCCCACTCAGCTGGCCTCCAGTTCCTTGAAAAGGAACATGACATAAACTCTGCCTCTCCATAACTCAGACAGGTTGGAGCAAGGTCCCCTGTCTTCACCATGACCTCCTCCAAGAGGTCACCACCTCCAGACAGATACCAGGCTTTGGAGTCTGCTACTGGGTTTGTAGTTTTAACTGGATGTCATTGTCTGAGGCAGCAAGGGCCGCCATCCTGCTACAGAAGTTCCTCGCGTGTCCCCGCCCTGTGGCCCCAACTGCCCCAGCCTCACCCCACCCCCCCGCTTGGGAAGGGGGAGAGCCAGCACCTCTCTA